TTGCTGAAGAGTTACTTATAAGTTAGGCTTGTCTTATTTCATATGTCCGAATTTTTATATTTACACACAAAAAAACTAAATCTTACCAAGTAATTTTATCTCGTTTCTGGAGCAAATATCTTAGTACATTTGAAATAAGACAAACAATTTTTTACTTTTCAGCAAGATACCAAGGATTGTTTTGTAAATGGTAATAAAAAAGTATGAGTTACTCAGATTATATCACTTATAGCAAGGCATTTTTCCATTTATTAACTTAATTTATTTGCCAATTAAAAGTAGTACCATTTCATCAATTTACTTAAAACAAACCTATGCATCTTCCTAAAACGTTACTTTTATGTTGGTTTGTCTTATTTCAAGTTAGCAGTAGGAACAAGATTTTCTGGTAAGATTTTTTTGTTTTTGCAGTGTAATTATGAAAATGCAGCTGATAATATTTTCAGATATTAAAGGATAAAATCTAATCTAATTTTCTTTTTAATAGTCATGTTTACTTTTAATTTTAACTATAAATAGGGCTATAAATATCCAGCAAAGCAAATTGATTCTCCTATTAAACTTGGTTAGTTGAGGTGTTTATGTTATTCTTTGTCTTAGGACAAATGATAAAATTTAGTTATTTTCCTGTTTTGCTAATTGTGTTAATGTTCACTAATGTGCACTGTTCTAATCAAAAACATTAAAATAAATCGTAAGAAATTTGTGTGATTAAAATATTAAGTTAATTTATTATTTGTTAAAAAATTAAAAGCAAAATTAGTTGTAAAAACAATATGGCTGCCTTAGTAATTTAAACTTTTAAGGAATTGTTTTTCCATGTAGGTTGGATTTGGATCTTTTTTCTATTTTAATAAATTATCATTTTAAACCAGCATTTTTGCTGTTATTTTGTGTTTTTGTTTTCTTTAAATCAGTTCAATCTAAAAGTGATATTAGAGCAAACTGAGCCTGCATTGCAAGGGAGCAAATACTTCTCAGCAGTTTTTTTTTTAGAAAGTTGGTATTGATGTGCTTTTCGTTGAGTATGTTGAGTGTTTAAAAGGGAGTTATTTGAATTTTACATAATGACATTTATTTGTCATGAGGTTTTTTATGTAACGAGCTGAAAGTGGTTGTTGTTATCTCTGCTCTCTGTCCTGTAAATATCTATAAATAAATAATGGTTGAAGCTTCTGTTGGGTGAACCTTTGTCTATTTTTGTTTTTAAGCTTCTTTTTTCCCCCTATTTTTCAGCTTAAACTGACTGACCTTAGGGTTTTTCATCCTTTTAAATGGGAAACTGTTAAAGGCATTATGCCTTTGCTTTCAACTGCAAATGTTTTGGTTAAAGTGTTTACTCAGTCTGGGCGCCAAAGCCAAACCTCTTCCATTGGTGGTCTTGCTCTTAATTGACATGTAGCCATGGTAACATTGGAAATAGAGATGCTTAATGCTGTTAAATATTTCTAAGTGCTAGATTACTGCTCTGACTCGCTTTCCTGTGTGGTTTTATATCTTACGAGACTTTAAATATACCAACCACTGGAAAAGGGGTGCAAGGCAAAAGTATTCAAACCTCCTAAACTTTTTTTTCCAAAGTATCACAACCAAAATCTTTAAAAGTGACATATTATGCAAAATTAACTTTGTGTAAGATTGCCATACTTCCATTTGGGTCTGCACAGCTTTTAAAAAACTCTTGCATGCTATATTATCCTTCTGGTGATTAATCAGTGCTCATCTCCCCCCCATAGCCCTGGAGGGTTCAAACCAGCAACTGAATCCCAGATTCAAATTGATGCAGAAACAGCACAAAAATAAGCATCAGGTTAAGTTGAAGCTAAGCTTTTTTATTAATTATAACATTAAAACTGATTTAATCTCAGCTTCACCACTTGATGTTTGTGTAGCTACTTTCACTGATGATGACACACATTGGGGTGCTGTGCAGAGATATAAAAAGAAATCCTCCTTGAGGGAAAAGGGCAGCATTTATCTCACAGACTGGCCCACTTTAGAAATGCCAAACATGTTCACAAGATCCGTTTGCGTTTAAAGGAGGCGCCTTCCTGATGATAGCCAGCTTACTGCAGGTAAAGGTGGAAATAAAACTATAGGGCTGACGTTAATGCAACATGTCTGACTGAATTGAAAGAGAAATAAAGATGACTACTGGTAATGGACAGTTTATTGGACCAGAAATATTAACTTTTTGTGAAAGAGAATCTTCACAACACTTTTCTGGATTTTCTCACAGTGTGAGTAACTTTTCTGGATGACGAACAGGCATTTTTTACTGAAAAAAAAATCACCACATTATAACTGCAGTTTTTGTTCATTTAAATAGAAAGAAATTGATTTATTTATTTTACTTGATTTTAAAATTTTATTTTTATGAATTACTTTAATTTTGGCCCTTCAAATTTCTACATAATTTTTCTTTTTTTTTTTGGTCTGTGTGATGTGATTTTAAATATCAAATGATTGATGATCAGTTACTGGATACTTAAGTTACCTTTTTCTTTTTAAACAAATTACGCTTTTCCTTTTTACTTTTACTTGAGTAAACATGTTGAACTAGTTGAATCTGACGTGCTTTTCCTACATTATTTGTGAAGCACTTTGTGATGTTATTTGTGAAAGATGCAATACAAATAAAATTTTCCTTCAAATTCAAAAATACTTAATTGATCCCAAAGGGAAAATTACATGTAGATGTAGCTCATATATATATTTACTTACATTCCTTTTGTCTTTTTGTCTTTGAGAGAGCAAACTGCCATTATTCACACCGCCATCTACGTACCGGTACTTGAAAATGGCCTCAAAACAATATTATGTTTTCTATTTTGAACAGACGGTACAAAGTAAAAACAGGACTAGCAGATGGATAGCAGCCGTTAATCATAGTGACTGGCAGCCCTCGGTGTAACCGTGGATTTACAGCGAACACTTTTTACAAGGTAAGAAAATTAACGTTCATGTACTTTATAAAAAGATTAGAAAGATTTCACATATCGCATTACGGCAGTGCTTCTCAATTATTTTCCGTTACGCCCCCCTAGCAAGAAGAAAACTATTCGCGCCCCCCATTCCCCACCGTGACTATCCATCTCTGCATAACATTTTTTCCTTATTAACATTTTTCGCAGAAAAAACTCTAGCGGCTTATCGGCGTGATTGGGATGTAACGTATTTAAGTGACGCGCTAATTTATTTGGCTTCATGCTGTCCGCTGCGAGCATTTTTAGACACAGCAAACACACCGGTCTTTCCTCTTCTCCAACTGTAGTCACAGTGAAGCCAAGCGCTAAATACGCTTCGTCGTATTTCCTCTTCTTAACTTTCGGTTGACTTTCTGTTGTCTCATTATCTTTGTCTCTCTCCGCTTTTCTTTTCATCCCTGTTTAAAAACTTTTTCATGTTGGGGGTTGTTGAATAACGGAGGCCATAGACAGAACGCAGTCGGAGCTTTTTGTTGACTTAACACTGCTAACCAAGGCAAACCTGTTGTCTTGTAAGTCGTAAATGTTGCACTGTCGCAAACGTGACAGAAGTAACAATGAGAGCGCCACTGCCGCCTACTGTGCGCAATTACACTTTATACTAGTACGGCCAAAAAAAAGCCTGTTCCCCAGGATCACACGCCCCCCCAGGTATCGCACCGCGCCCCCCAAAGGGGGCCCGCCCCACTATTTGAGAAGCACTGCATTACGGAGACGGTAACCGTTACTAACGTTAGTAACCGTGGAAACGGTGTCCCGTCGTGTAGAGGCTAGCATAAATGCTAGGCTACATGGTTAGCATCTCGTCTTTTATACGTTTTTAAGGCTGTTGCTATTTAAGGGGAAACTCTGTTTATGACACAGTGATATAAATCACATCAGGAAACGTGGGTAATTTGATCAACAGGTCAGCAGGAAGGGGGTACGGGTCGGTTTCTAAGCTAGCTGATTCAAGCTAATGTAGATACCGCCGTCTGTGAGGGCCAAGCAGGTGTGTTGCATTCAAAGACAAATTAGCTCGACGCTAACAAGTAGAAACCACGAATAAACTGAAAACAATCGCTTTGTTCCATATTCTGATCCTCATTTCCGACGACCATTTTGGCGCCTGGAATGATTAAGTGACGTAGTTGCAAAGGGTCAATAGGAGAGGGTCTGAAGAGCTGTCCTGAAACCAATAGTAAATCAGACTCTGTCTTTAATATTGGCCGTTTGCAGATCATTTAGAGTGCATGCATTCACTTCATTTACTGTCTGGTAATTTTGTTGTGTAAATTGATCAACAGTGTTGCTCTTCAGCTGGCTCCAGCTTAAGGCTGTAGGTCAGTGTTGTCACAAAAAGCAGCCTTGTTGCTTTCTAACATCACAAACTGTGCATTGGGTTTTGCAGAGACAATTGAGGCAACAGTTGCAGAGACAGTCGAGGCAACAGTTGGAGATAGTTATTTTTATTTGCAAAATATTCACATTTAAAAGTCATAGAAGTGACAAGTGGCTTTCACAGAGGCTCACAGCGCTGACAACCACGCGGATTATTCAGTGCACATGCATCATGCTGGATTCAAAGCCCTTACGATCATCACAGTTCTTTGCACTTAAACATTTTGGTGAAGTTTTATTTTATTCTGTGCTTTGTCTTCCCCCTTCAGGCTCCAGAGAAGCTAATAAACTGAACACAAGCTATTACACCAGCGAAGCACACACACACACACGCATTCACACACGCGCTCACGCAAGGCCCGTTATAAAAGCTGAATGGCACACCAGTGCACATCACTGCTGGTTGTGAAAGCTTTTGCAAGCAGAAACGGATCCAAAGCTGTTCAGGACGGATTATCCGGCTTATTTTGAGTTGGAGAAACGGAGAGTGCAAATTTTTGACATTGAAATGCTGTAAACTTTGTTTATAAGCCACCACTGTGCAGGATGCATGGGCTGGTTACAAGTTTCGACGTTTTCACACGTTGTAAAGTCTTAGTCATGAGATGCCTGAGCTGTTTTCTCATGAGATGCCTGAGCTGTTTTCTCCTGGCTTTAAAGCTTCCCTCCCCCACCTGTTGATTAGACACTTATAAACTCTTGGAAGTAAGACAGACTTGGATTTTGGAAAAATTTCCTGTCATAAAATCACTGAGTGGAGCAGCAGCCATGACTGATTGGTGTATCAGAATAGATAGTCGGACCAATCAGTCCCTCCAGGAAGTTGCAATAATAACTATTAATGGAAATGCAATTAATAATTTACAAACTTTGCGCAGACTTGCAATTTTCACAACTTGCAACATTTCCACAAATCTAATTCCTTAATGTTTTCTGTATATCCTTTTTTTCTGACCAATCACTGCAACTTAGCTCAATTTTACCCAATCAGTATTTAACTTCCTGTTCCACAGTGTCTCAAAAAACTATTTCTTCTGTTTTTCTTCATTTCAAAAATAATTCTCTCAGATTTAATTATACTGCGTTCATGTTGCCCTCAATGACCAATATTTAATTCTCCTTTGTGCATTTGGCAACTCGTCTGAAAACAAAAATTGAAAATTGTATTTGCAGCCTTCATATTATCTCTTTCTTATTTGGGAAGGTCACAATAATCATAAAAAAACCATCGCATCACTAATTCACCAGCTAATATCAATTTGTTTACCTAATAGTGTAAAAACCAGAGTTACAAAAAAGGGACAATATCATATTTTTCTTAACATTTATGTCTCAAAATTAAATGACACATTTGAAAACTTCTATTGGATCAATTTTACAGCAGTATATTTTTTAAAATTTTAATTATTTCAAATAAATAAACTGAAACATGTTATACACTTAAGTTTGAAATTGTGCAAAGTTAAAAACCAAAGTGTTTAATTAAGATGACCACATCAAAAGAAGCTGTCACCAGACTGTACACTGCAAAAACATAAAATACCACCAACTGTTTTCGTCTAGTTTTTAGTGAAAATAAACTACTACTCTTAAAATAAGACTAAACTCAATTACAAGTAACTTTTCAGCAAGATATTAAAGTTAATAAGACTTTAATGGAAAAAGTTCTAGTTCCCCTCGCAGATTATTTCACTTATAACAAGACATTTCATGTTACAAATGAAATGCTTTTCATTTGTAATATTACTTTTTCCACTAAGGAATTAATGACTAATTATTGGAGATTAATTATCTGCATCCAGTTGATCTCCAAATGGAAATCTAAGCAGAATAAAACTAGTTTTATTTCTGTTGCCAGAAGTTTCCAAAGTTTGACTTTATATATATATTTTTATCTGGTCCTAATGAAGTACTGAACACATTTAATTATATTATATTTATTGTGGGTGTGTTTGTGTAAATCAATCTATCCGTACAAAAATAAAGTTGATTGATTGAAATAGCTCCTATCTTTTGCTAAAAAGTTACTTGTAAGTTAGTTTTGTCTTATTTCAGGTGAACTAAAATATTTAAAGTAGAACTAAAAAGTATTTTATAACATGTTGTCCCTCAAACATCAGACCTCTTACTACTTATAATTTATTTAAAGAATTGGTTCATAACACCTCAGTTCGGTCAACATTTTGAATAAGTATTTTCTCCTAATCCCACCATGTGTTATTTTGGCTTCTACATGAAGGATTAATTTAGTTTTAGTTATTTGTATACATTTTTATAATGTCTGTGTTTGTTTGTTAGTTTATTTGCACTGCAAACAGACAGAAATATGAGCTTGTTTTCAGGGAGTATTTCTTTAATATTGATCAAAAAGTACTTGTTCAACTGGCAGGTTATTTCACTTATAACAAAACACTTTTCTCAATTTAGGAGTGAAATAATCTGCTAATATAACTATCACTTTTTCATCAATATGAAGAAATTATTGACTTATACAAGCTCCTTTATCTTTCTGGAGAGTTACTTGAAAGATGGTTTTGTCTTATTTCAAAATATTACACTAAATACTAAGACATTTGCTCTATACCAAAATACTTGGCAATATTTTTGCGCTTTTGCAGCGCATTGTTTGTATTTATTGACTAAATGAATTTCAACCTTTGTTTGTTTTTATTTACACAAATTACTCATTGTCCAGGGACAACAAATTAATTAAATTAGTTTTCGCTAATTGTGTTAACTAATGTAAAGTGTCTCAAACAAATAAAAAATTTAGTTAAAAATCTAAAATTTTTTGTTTTTGCAATATATTGTTTATATTTATTGACAAATTGAGTTTTAAGCCAATTTAATGTTTCTTTATTATCTGTACTAATGACTAAGTTTCTAGGGGAAATAGGCTTGGCTAATTCTGGCACATTCACAAAAATGTTAATGTAAAGTTTCCCTAACAAATAAATTAAAAAATATCTAATTTTTTGCAGTGTTTTGTTTGTATTGCAGCTGTATCATTATTTGTTTTTTACTGAATTTCTAGAAAAAAACAGCATTTTGGCTAATTGTGGCCCAATTACAAAAACATTGATGTGCATCATCCATCCTACCAAATAAATAAAAAAAATAATAATAAAAACTTTGAGTTTTTGCAGTGTACTGTTTATATTTATTGACAAAATTTGTATAAAGTTATTTTAACTTTTGCTTTTTAGCTAGACCAGTTACCCACTTTCCAGGGACAACAGATGGAAAAAAGCATTTTGGCGCATTTACCAAAATGTTAATTCATGTGCATCAACCCTTCAGAGCAAATTAAAAACTTAAATAGTGTTTTTGCCGTGTATGCTTGCTGTTCAGTAAATACATACGACTCAATCCGTCAGTCTTCTACCACGTTACACAGAACAACACCTACAGTACCTGGTGGCTGTTAACCCCTTCCTGCCTATTCTGCCTTCTTCCTATTTGACGAAGTGCAGGGCCTCTGCTGCCACTACAGAGCCCTTGCTGCTGTCTAGCGCGGTGACCAGCTTGAAGCCCGCCTTCAGCGCCAGCATCACCGTTTCCAGTTTGAGGCAGTCCAGCGTACACAGGAAGGTGCTGTCCTCCTTCAGGACGAGCCGCGAGCCCGGCTCCGACTTGATGAAGTGGCGGAACTGGATGACGTTTGACGACACGACGAACTCCTCCGGGAAGCCGTCGAGCCTGCTCTTGGAGATCTGCACCAGCCGCCCTTTGACCTTGTCGATGAAGCAGGTGTCGCTGCAGTACACCTTCAGGCCCTGCGACCTCTCGTGGCTGTCCGTCACCTCCAGGAAGGCGGGTTCACGCTGGGCGGCCCGCTGGCTCTCCCACTCGCTCACCGCCTCCACCAGTTCGCTCAGGCGGTAGAAGTCTGCCTCGCGCCGCAGGAGCCCCGCCTCCCGGAAGTCGTCGGGCAGCTGCAGCTCTCCGGTTCGTAGGTAGTTGAGCACGTGGCGGAAAACGGGGCCGTCCCTGTCGATGAACGGGTTGCCCATGGAGTCGGTGTGCTGCACCGCCTTCTTCCCATTGGCCAGCTCCTCCAGGAAGGAGCCCAGGTGTTTGGAGAGCGTGGTCCGATGGGCGGTGTACAGGAAGCCGCCGACATTGAGGGTGATGGTGCCTGATGACGGCTTCTTGAAGCTCTTGCTGGGCTGCAGCAGGTCTGGGTTGATGTGCCTCAGTTCACTCTCCATCCTTCTGAGGTTCCATTCCATTCTCCGCCCGGCGTCTCCCCCTCCGGCTCAGCTCCTGCGGTTTCGCTCAGGCTGCAAAGTGCTGTCGGCTGTCGAGCGGCGCAATTCAGCGGTGGATGGGAGAGCGTTGAGCGGCGGAGCAGGAGCCGAGAACAGAGCGGCTCTGTGTGTCGCTCCTCCTTCCCTCCGTCTCTCTTTAAGAGTGGGAGTGTGGCAGCGTCACATTCAGGGAGGAGAAACAGGGAACAAATAACAGAGAAGTGTGAAGCTCTCTCTCTTCCTTTCTTATCATCAGTCCTAAATTATCTTTTGGGCAGAGGAAAACAAAAACAGTCGCTGCTCACCAGATGGAGAGGGGGCTTCTATAATGTTTGAGGTGTGAGTGTGTCAGACTTCTTGTGAGTCTGAATATAAATCTCTCCTTGCTGCTGAATCCATCTGTTTACCACACATTACTACGTGAACTTGAATCTGTTTGAGGGGAACGCCAGCCTGGCATGGTGCGCCTCGGCTCAGTTCGATTTGGTTCGATTCAGTTCGGATAGACGCCAGGAGATTGAAGCGTTGCATAAGTAAAAGAGAGTAACGAGATGGATTTATGTAAACATGATCAGTCCCAACTACAAATTAATAAAATATCTGGTTTGTAGATACAAATCAGATCTATCTATCTATCTTCATTTTATCCTTTCTTTATTCTCTTTTCACTCTGTTTTTCCCTTATTCAACTAATTTAAAGTTTGATGTGACATTTGTTTTCAAACTGTATTTTTATTGTGCATCTAATTTTGATAAAACGTTTTGTTAAACAAAAATCCAAATAGTTTTTCCCTTTTCTTTCCTTTCATTTTCCTTCCTTTCTTTCCTCTCCTTTCCTTTTCGTGCCCTGTTTGTTGCGGCCGTCCGTGTTTTGGCTGGTCTCTCCTTGTTAACAGAACTGCAGACGACGGGCCTTTAGCTGCGAGCGGCTCACGCTCTCCGCTCTGTGATTTCGTCTGTGTTTCAGGCTCCCAGTGCAACTGCAAAAAATCACACTTCATATAAAACATGAGAAAATACACAGAGGGTCCAGCAGTGCTGTGGGCTCGTTTGATGGGTTTGGTTTCCGACTGGCGGAAATCTGTGACAAAAACATAAAAAATGCATGGGCAGTCTGCAGGAGGTTGTTTTTGGTGTTAGCAAAGTGTCTGTGCTTCATTTCAGAGGTGAAAAAAGTAACATGGTGGAGGATTGAGCTTTGTGTTGCAGCACCGTTTGGGTTTATTTTCAAAGAAAGTCTGAATCTTTGGTCATTAGCCACTCCTTCACTGACAATCAATGTGCACCGATCAGTGGCCACATGGTGAGTTAGTGATTTTTAAGCAATAATCCCTCTTAAAATTGGGATTTCTTTCCATTAGGTGAATAATTAGATAGTAATTCATAAAAAAATTAAGATACATGATCAGTCCCAACTGATCATCTATCTTGCTAAAATTTTTTAGCAATTTTTAGCAAAGTCGCTAAAAATGCAGAAATGTAGAAATCACAGCACAGTAAGACAGTTGAAACCAACTATTTTTAGTCTGTAAAACAGTATTTTTTTGGCAGTATAACAAAACATGTTAATGGTTTATTAAGGGTGAGCTTCTGTATGAATTTGATCTGCTTTGACCTCTGAGTTATTTTATGTTTGGAGATTCATCAATCTACAAAGCAGAAAATCTGTCTATTCTTACTTGTATTCTGGTCTAGTTTCTAGTTCAAATATCTTAGTACACTTGAAATACAACTAACTCAAGTGGAATTGTTGGAAAAATACAAGTTTTCTTGTTATACTTGAAATAATCTGACAGTGGAACTGGTAATTAAAAAAAATAAGATTTTAAGGAATTATTGACTTAAAACAAGCTCACATTTCTTGCTGAAAAGTTACTTGTTACTCAGATTTGTCTTATTTAAAATGTACTAATATATTTCTACTAGAAACTAGACTAAAAATACTTGGTAAAATTTAGTGTTTTAAAGTGTACAGATGTTTTGTAACCAACTTATTTCTGTTTTTTCACCAAAGAGAAATGCTATGCCAGTTTGTAGAGTTTACCGCTTACAAAAAAGCTACTTTATTTTCCCTGAGTTTAAAAAATGACATGTTTGCTCAAATTCCAGGATTTATTACTTTTTCAGCAGCTTGTTGTTGGCACATTTTCTTTAAGAAATGTCTTTAAAATATGACGTTAATTGCATGATAAAATCACTATTTTAATATTTAGAGTACTTCCCATAAACTTGTGTTGCCGCCATTTGCATGCTGCCCTGGACAGAGAGCCACAAGTTTCAGATCAACAGAGTTTTCATGCATGATGGTTAAAATACAACCTCCAACTATTGATATTGCCATGGTTATTGCTGTTACATATGTTTGTGGAGCTCCAGTATTTGTGGTTCTCAAATGATTTGCTAGGGTGGCCAAGCTTTTAACGATGTTGTTCTGTTTTTATATTCCTGTAAAAGAAATGAAGATTTTCAGAAGTAATTTTTGGTTTACTGGCAGTTTTAGGGCTTCAGGCGAGGCTCATGAAACGGACGCTTGTATCAAAGCAGAAAGTATGTCATTAAATTTTCATGTGAAATCCTGCACAGCTTGGGAAATTACCCCCTCGCCTGGGGGAGAGCGAAATGAAGGCATATTTATGGATTTTCTTTCTCCAAACATCGAGTGAATCAGAGTAACAGGTGTGATCCAACAGGTTAGAAACCACTTTCGCCCCCCAGAGCTGCCGTTACAAATTAAAGACTGGAGATTCACTTGAGCATAAGCGCTAAATTTAAAGACGTCCTGCATGATTTGCTCCAGGTTGCAGCTTTGAGCTCCCAGAGAGACGGCTCTTTGAATCTGCGCTGTGATTTTCTAATGGTGGGTGATTAGTTGTGTCATCCTCAACAACACTCCATTGGAATTGCAAACGAGGATGAGGTTGTGGGAGGCTAGACCCGGTTCCTTCCTCCTGCTGATTAAAATCGTTTCATTCAGGAGGATTATTGTTTCAGTTTTTCTGGAATAATGGGATTAACCCCGAGTTCTTCTTGGCTGTTGTTGTTGCTCTTGTTGGATATAAAATTTCCCAAAATGCTATTAGCGGGGACTCTCCTCTGCTGTTAACAGTGGTGAATTATTCATAGCAGAGCTTTAAGAGCTTGTGGTTTAACATGGAGTCACTGACTGCTGTGGAGCTGGCATGGCAACCACTTTAATAGAGCCTTGTATGAGCGCAGCGCTGTCAATCTCTTCCTTCATTTATTATGGGGATCTATGTGCTCTTTGCATTTGTCTCATTAGCTCAAATTCAAGAATTATGCTGCTTAGGAAAAGCAGTTTCACAACAAGCAGGTATTGAACACAGTTATTTACCTGGAATGTTGTTTTTCTGGATGAGAATGTAATTAATGTCATCCCTTTGGGCGTTTTCAAAACAACAACTAGTTGCAAAAGTTTGATGATAATGCAAATTTCTAAAGGTGACTATTCCTTGAATATATTAGGACAGTTTTATGGGCTATACAAAACATGTTACATTACAATTTTTTGCACCAAATCATTCTTGTTTAATGAGACTTTATTCTGTTGAGTTCTGTTTTTTTGAACAAAATATATCTAGAAAATTTCAACTTCAAAAAATTAACCATATAGTTTAGTGGTTTTTTTTTTCTTTTAATCTGACAAACTTGTGGGACCTTTTTTAAGTTTCAAATCTAAAATGATTTGTAAGTCCCTTTTTCTATAGAAATCTGACAGGTTTTCTTATTTTATTAAAGTATTGTGAGTTTAGGTTATAGTTGAACAATTAAAATTAGAATTGTTATGAAGAAAAATAAAAAGAGTTCTACTTTCAATTTGACATTTTTGGCCTCCAAGGCACAAAGTGTTGGCACCTCTTGTTATAAATAAAGTCAAATATATGTTCTGCAGATATTTTCATATTTTCATATCTGCAGAACAAGAGTGAACAGGAAAATAAGAGTGAACTGGAGAGATACTGAACCACTACCCACGGGTTACTGGTCCCTAGTTCAGGTAATGGAAAAAGAACAGCAAATATCACTGAAAATATAAATATCATTACAAAAATCAAAGGCTTAGTGTTAATTTAGTGTTTGAATAAAACATGCTATTTATACTGGACTAAAGGGCATCAGAACTTGTCTGTTCAACTTTGACATTGAATCATGTTCTGAACTTAGAAACAAACATTTACTGTTATTTTTTAAGATCAAGATGAAACAGTAGTGACCTGAATCAGTAGCAGTATGTAAACAGCCAACCAGCTCCATCTTCATTAGCCGCGCATCAAAGGCTACTTTGTTGCATATGGATGCTGCTTTTTTTCTCGTTTAAAACCAAAATGAGTGGGCGCAATGCAGCTACAAAGGTCGGCAAATCACTACAAAGTTAACGAAGGGAATCATTATATTTTCTTAATGAAGCAGCCTCTGGGCTCGGAAGGGATGAGCGCTAATGGAAAATTATATTCGGAGATCCAATCAATGTGACCCCTCCTTTATTGCTTCCGTGTTGTCAATGTATCGGTCATAAGAGTTCAATTTACCTTATATTTTAATTATAAAGTGTGAAATCAAGTGCAGTCTCAAGAATAATATTCATTAAGATGAGATACTTTATGAATAATTGGCTTTAATGCAAAGAACTGCAGCTGCATTCATAATCTTGCATGAATCTCAATAATCATATAACAAAATACACATGGACACAGTTATTTATAGTGCAGCTATTTAATTTAGTTGTATTAGTCTAATTTCTCCAATAAGCCTGGAGCTGCAGTCATTATGTGCACAGCAATGGCTTTTTATAGCAGTAGCGTCATTAACTCGTCAAAAGGCATGATAAACCATAATCAGCTGTACAGATTTCAAAGGGACGTCAAGGCTAACTGAAGAGCTGAAAATGTGTGCATGCCTCAGAGACGAAAGTGGAAGAATTTTACTAGGATTAAAGATCTGAAGAAGTGAGTCTTTCAGCAGGATAGTGATCCAAAGAACAGGGGATGGATGCTGAAAGAATATTTCAGGCAGGAGAAATCAGTTTCTCAGCGATTTTCTCAGACCTAAATACCAAAAGCCACCGAAGAGATTACTTTCTTTTCACATATTTCTGAAAACTGAATAAAAGGACAA